TTTTTTTAAACTCAGCTGTGGTTGGAGAACGGATGTTTGAATCAGACTGAGCTCTGATAATATAATGAATGTGAACTTGTCATTTTGAGATGTGATTATTCTGAGAAACAGATGCAAGTCACATCATGTTAGATAATGCCATGTCGTGTTGTGTGCTGACGGAATAGAACCAAGATTAAAAGAGAATTTAAGATAATGAAAACTGATAAACAACTTTGGAGTTGAACTGCCTCTGTCTATACTGTGCTGTAAGCTTGAAGCAGTTATAGTTTTAATCATTACAAATGGAAAAGCGGGTATTAATCCTACCAGTACATTATTCCATAAGTTATTCATTCTTAACCGGGGAACCACAAACAAATCTTGTTTTTCATTCACTCAACTTTTCTTTTATAAAAAGCTGAATGCAGTCCTGCTTTCACTCCAGCCCCTTTGCATTGGCCAGCCAGTTAGAAGAGTTTGATACCATTTACCGTCTAATTAATTCAACATCTCAATTAAGGCCCCCCGCTCTCTGATGCCCTTGTGGCTTTTCATTCTGCCCCAGTGAGCATGGCCTGGCACCACAGCCGCACAGCCTGCCAAAACATTTCAATCACTGTCAGCATTAATTAGACCAAAGAGGAATTCAGAATGTTAATGAACTACCCAGTCGCTTTTCAGTGACCATGGTTCACATGCTAATTTATGCAAAGCGCCCTAGCCTTTGCGTGGGTTGACCATCGTCGTCTACCATAACAGTGTCTGGGCTCACTCAGCTCAGCCAAAGTATGGCTCTGTCAGGGCCCAGGCAGCTCTGCCCAGCTTGTGTCCCAGACTCTAGCTGGCACAGTAAACAGACTCCTTTTTCAATGGACTTGAAGTGGCTTTCACACTGTGCAAAAAGGGCAATTTTCTGAAGTCAAACCTTCAACTACTCTATTAAAACATCTAAATCAAAAAAAAAAAATCACTAGAAGGATTTTTTTGCCTCACATTTGTGAATCAGCAACAGTCGACTCTCTGAAATATTTTATGAACAGCCAATTCCTTCAATCAGTCAGTCTCAACATCTGCTATATCATTATTTGTGGAAAAATAAGCAGTCTATCTTATGGATACGGATCTGAAGGAGGAGGTAGAAGTTAACAGGTTGCACCACAGATGTTGGGTATGGGTGCCAAACAACTCCCTAAAATGGCCGAGTAACAGCCATTTTCCATTTTTCTTCCTTTGCTTTGCATTAGTTTCTGGTTGTAGAGACGGAAGGGACCAAACTGGAGAAAGGCGTGCTTAAATTGAGCTATTTTTTTCTGCCTGTTGGGAAGCAGACCTGGAAAGACCTGAGCCAAGTTTTAGAGAAACATAGGCACTAATTCTTGGCACAGCTGCCCTTCACTATGTGCCAACTTCTCTGAATGTGATTTTTTTTTTTTCCACAAATTGCCACACTGAATTGTGACAGAAGCACATTCTGACCTTAATGTGTAAGTCATTAAGAAAACTGCATTTCTTTTGTACATGTCAAATCTATGCTAATGTACAGTATGTCCATCATCTGTCATTCTTAAACCCTGACCAAATACATTTGCACTGACCAATGCAAGTGGTCTCATACTTTATATCACTGTAGTGCTGTTTGTAAGCCTGTTGAGCCAAGCCTGTAGTTTCTGTTCTCTGTTTTACAATACAGTCCACAATGCAGTGGAGTCTAGAGGGGAAATTTCTCCTTGAAGGTAATTCCTGATAAAACTGTTATCAGACTACCTCATTCCATGGTACGGGTTGTCATTTGAATAATATGGTTTAACAGTATGTACGTGTGCATGTTTTAACTATTATTTTGGATGCAACTGCAGTAGTTTACTACAAAAGATATTACATTACATTAAATGGCCAATATCACAAGAAATTATTGAAAGTATACTTATCAGATTTTCCTGTGATGCACCGTTTACTAAACACAATCTGAAATGACTAAATGTGGTAAAACCTTTGCATTTTGTCCTCTACGCAGACTAAAAAATATTTTTCAACCACTGTTTGCCCCTAGTGGGTACTGATATCTAAAAACTCACTTATTCTTTTGTTTCACAGTTTGACTGACAAGTTTCCACTGCTGCCTGCAAAAGCATCTGTCCTTAAGGCTGAGGTAGTAGATTGAATAGTTGTGGGGTTTGTGTCCTCCCTCTGAGATAACTATGCAATCTACTGTCTTTCCTAAGGAGACAGGTTGATCTGCTGTGATGCCAATAGCCTGAGCACACGTAAGAAGCTCTGTGGACAAAGGACCTCATGGACAGAGTAAAGTAAATCAAAGGATAACCCATCCCTCACCTCTGGAGAAGAGATTGCGGACACAAAGACTTTATATATTTACCAGATGCAATGGTGGAACTTATCTAATGTAATGACATGTTGTAAAGTTAGTACATATTGAGTTAAGTCTTGTTTTTAAGGATGCTGTACTTGAAGTTGAGCCTAGCAAGGTGAGGTAGTAGGTTGTATAGTTTGTGGGATGGAGTAAATCCTACTCAGGTGATAACTATACAGTCTATTACCTTCCTTGAGAGGTACAATGAGTGCTTGGAATGAAGCTCACTCACACACTCTTGCCAAAGGGTGAAGGAGCCACTCCGATGCCACCTTGTGGCCAAAGACTATCATTACTCTGGAAATTATTAAAGCTTTGGGAGCTCTATTGTGTGCATCTGGAGCATATTCACAAAACATCCAGGGGCTGAAAGTAACTCCTAATTCCTTTTTGGTCTGAGAAATTCACCAAGCAAAAGTATGTTCTACGTCTGAGAGATGTTAGAGGAAGAGCAGAGGAGTGCTAAGTCTGCTCACAGTCAGTTATGTCTTGTGAAAACAGAATAATAATTAACTTTTAAACCATATTTTAATTGCCATTTAATAAGGATGCAATTTGCTCACCAACAAATCTGAACAATCCAATAATATCAGACATGACAGTTACAATACAGTTTGCAGCGCTGACGATGGCAGCCTCCGCTCTCTGACAAGATCATTCATCAAAGTAAAATTGTGCCAATTTGTCTGACAAGTCCTTAAATGCACATTAAATAATCACCAACTGCAATTAACACATAAATAAAGGTAATTTCATGACCATTGCTGGATTGTCCAATAAAAACAGCTCTGTATGTAGAATTACCATCAAAGTATGATGATTGGTTTTGTTAGCTGGAAAAATATCCCATACTGATGGTATTTGATCCCAGACGCTATATATACACATGTATGCAATAAAATATTTTAATTTGTTTCACGTGTTAAATTCGTTATACATTTTACAAAATACTGATATGACAGCTATCTGAATTTAATTTAATTTGTTCCTCACGCTACTGTGTATTGATGAATATCTTATTTCACTTCACTGGCTGACTCATCACCTGTCAAACACCAGTCCCTGTGGACATAGGGTGGAAATTCATGATGATGTCCTCCTTAATGCCGCCACTTCTCTTTTCTCTTAGTTTAGGACTCTTTTTTACTTACTAAAAGTTTTTCACAGCAGCTTTGTGAATTTCTCTTAAGAGGAAACTCATGACATTTGGGAGAATTCCCAACGGTAACATACGATCCTTTGTTACAGCCCTAAAATGATCATAAATGAATTATAAGGGATAACAATTTTTGATGTAAGAGTAAGTTACACAACAAAACCTACACCAAGTGTGGGGGCAGTATTATATTAAGTACTTTATGAATAAATTCTTTGTAACTGAACAGCAAGTGCTGTTTATCTGACACATTGGTCTGTCAGACGAAGAACGAAGTGACAAAGTACTTTCGAATTGTGACTGCTCAGTCACTCAGTGTGACAGTTGATGAATGATGCACTGCGGCCACGAGTGAAAACCATTCAATATGTGTCGGGTAAAGGTTAAAATTATGTATCACCCTGTAAACCCAGTGGGTAAAAGGTTAGTTAGTAACCTATATGGTCAGCAACTTACAGATGTCGTGGTGCTCTTGCAGCAATTTCTTTCAAAGACTGAACATTTGGAAATACATGGACATTTTATATGTACAGTAAAATTACAGTGTTATTAACTGATTAATATTAGTTTAATTTTTTAAATTAGTTCCGCAAAAAGTACCCCAGTAAAAGTCTTACATATGTGGAAATCGGAAATAAGTCATTGAGGCTTTCTCTTTTGCAATTGAAACTCTGACTCATGTCACATGTAGATTTATGCAGCACTAAGAGTTGCTAGTGTAGACTAAAGAAATTAATTTATCATACATTTTGCCAGATTATAGTGGCTCATAAATACGTATAAACCGTTTACGGCAGGAAAGAAGTAAATACTCACTAAAAATAACTGTGTTCGTAAACACTAAACATATTTAATATAACTGCAGAGTCATTACACTATATGTGCAAAGGAAAATTGAGCAATGCAAAGATTCTTTAAGTCAGGAAATGAAACAGCTTGACTACCAAACCACAAACCTGCAAACTTGTGATAAAAATCTAATCAACATACAGTGCAGACTAAATTAACTTCAGCTGAAAGGTTGGGAAAAAGTTGAGACAAACATCAACATAAAAAAAATATACCAGCAAAATAAAATAAATGCTAATGAGCCAAAGAGAAGGTTATATTGAATTAAATTGATGTCAGTCACTGCCCTGTCTCATTTTTGTTAGGATACTGTACATCATAAGAAAATTACAAAAATAAAAGTGATTTAAAAACGCTCATTACCAAGAGCTGTCATTTTAATAACACTACCAGGTATTAGGTTTGATATCTTCAGTTTGTCAGATATGCATCAATGTTGCAAAACTGGACTTGTAAGGTTCACTTTTTGTTGAGACTGTGTGAGAGATTACTTCTCCTAACCCTTTGGTCATTTCTGAGGCTGTACTTTGTTGTGTTGTTCTGTCACACTGCACTGTTTTGAAATGTCTGTAATAGTTTGTCTACCTCCATTTACATAGGGGAACCAAATATTCTAAAACAGATTCGTATGTAATTGAATCCAATCTAACAGCAGAACAAAGTACAGATGAAAAAAATACTATGTAGCTGATTTAACATCTGTTAACACACATTTAAGTGTCTCCACATATTCCTAATATTATGATATCATGTTTCAGATGTCCAAATTTATTAGTTTTTTTTTTTTTAAGATAGTGATGGTACTTTCCAAGACAGTGAGATTTCTATTCAAATGAATATGAAGAACTGGAACTTGAACAGAAACAGAAAAGCAACAGTGATATGAAACTCTGTGTAAAAACTAAAGCTTTTAAAACAAGTGAAAGCTGCCCTTTTCCTCTGAAAGAAAGTTTTCGCAATGCACACAGACACATGCATACTCAGCCACATGCACTCACATAGTGGACACACAAACACGCACAGGGTTCCTGAAAATAACAGATAATAGACCTTCTCAGTGCATGCCTACATTTGTTTACTGTATCAGTAAACACTAATATCCTCAACATCAACTAGCATGTAGTTTTCGGATTTCAGTATAAATTACTGTAAGTAGCTTTGTTTACCTTTCACATGATGTCAACATGTTTTACAGTGTTTTAGACTGAAGAGTCAATCAAACTTGGTCCTTAAGAATACGCACACAAAAGAAGGAAATCTGCCTTTAGTCATCGTTGGCCACACTGTTAATGTTACTGCTGAGATTGTTGTCTGTCGTCTGGCTTGACTGTGGTCCTTGAGTTTCTTCTCCACATGCAACATACTCTCTCCAGAGCTTCAAGTATGCAGTCCTGATCTTTTGTACTTTGAACGCATACACAACTGGGTTTACAGCTGAGTTAGCATGAGAAAGCAGGATGCCCACATGGAAAGCTGGCTCTGGAAAATCTTTCTGTCCACTAAAGTAAGCAATGCAGTTCATTATATGGAGAGGAAGCCAGGACAGTGCAAACAGGGCCAATACCAGGGACAGAGATCCTGCCAGCTGTTTCTCTTTCTTTAGGTAGTTCTCAGATTGTTTCTGGGCACTGTTGCCTGGTTTCCCTCTGAGGTTTCCCCGAATGGTAAAGAATATACAGCCGTACAGTACAGTCATCACCAACAGAGGTATCAAAGTGCAGAGAAAAAAGTTGAAGTAAACCAGGTATGTCAAGGGAATCACTGTCATAAACTCGCAGACGATGGTAGAGTTGACTGAAGAGAAGGTTTCATGGTTGTACCACCCTAGCATGGGAGCAAAGCTTAGTGGTAATGCAACAAACCAACATGCTGCTACCACAAGCCATGAATGTCTCTGTGTCACAGTCGCTTTGTACCTAAAGAAAAAAACACTAATTATTGATATAATCAACTGTGTATTCAAAAAATTAGCAGTAGGATTAGAAATTATATTAAAACACAGTGAAGTCATTGTAGCTTGTTGTTATGCAAGCCATGCAAAAGAGAGGTTGAGATAAAGTTCAAAAGCATTTCAACTATGCTTAGCAGCACTATTTCACTTTTCTCTGCACAATAAACCATCTAGAAAAAAAATTTCATACCTGAGAGGGACATACACCCGGAGGAAACGGTCCACTGCAATAGCCGCAAGACACAAAACTGAGACTAAGGTCAACAGGATGACCACACAGCTGATGAAGAGACAGCCATGAAATGAAGTCTTCACTCGTCCGTCCACCAGCACAGCCAACGGTATGGCTACACAGCCAACTAAAAAGTCAGCAACAGCCAGAGAGACAATCAGGCAGAAGGTGGGCAGTTGAATGATTTTACTGGTCCACAGAGCCAGAATAACCAACAAATTACCCAAACAGCAGCTGACAGCAATGAGCAACTCCACCAACGTGTAGATAACTTCACCCACACTCATTGTGCTTCCTATCTGGCTAATGTTTGATGGTTACTGGTACCGCTCGTCTGATTGCGTGCCTGAGTCTGACATTTAACATTCATCTCGAGTTTGTGAAACCTTTGAGGAAGTCCGTGGCCACTCATCTTTTTTTCAAAGCTATGATGACACCTTATGAAAATTTCCTGCAAGCTTTGCATGTGTACTTTCTGCATGCTTATATATCTGTTTGTTGTTGTATTTAACTTCTATAGCTGTACCAGGTCAAAATGTAGGTTGAAAAAAAAAATAAAGAAGAGTCTCAACTAGCATTTTAAACAAAAATGAAAATAAAACCTGACTTCTGTCCTAAAACCAAAAAAACAGCCAAACAGGACTCTTGTTCATGGCGGATCTAAACAAAGAGTTTTCTGCATGTGTGTGTGGTCAGTTTTAGTTTTTCTCTACCCGAGGGCCAGTCTAACAACCTCAATACTAATAAACAAAGCTTAACAACAATTCTACAACCAACACATGCTCAACAAAAGCTCCTGCAATGCGCTGGCAGTGTACTTAGGGTCACTGTCCTGTTGAAAGATGAACCTTCGACCCAATCTGCCGCCCCTTACCAAATCATGTCAAATCAATTGAATTTACCACAGGTGGACTCCAATCAAGGCGTAGCAACATCTCAAAGATGATCAAGAGAAACAGGGGGAACCTGAGTTTAATTTGAAATGTCAAAGCCAATGATCTGAATACTCATGTCAATATTTTCCGTGTTTAATAATTTTGCAAAAAATTTCTAACGTTTTGTTCTGCTTTGTTGTTATGGGGTCTTTAGTGTGGACCGATGAGTGTTTGTGAGATGTTGTGAATACTTATGAAGTGGAAGCAGTTCTTAAAAAATATCCCACGCTTCTATCACCATGATGTTTATCTAAACTTTAACAATGCATTTATTTTTCTCACCCATGTGGTGTCTTGCATCCATGCTGGTGGTTATACAGGTTGTGGTCGTGTCACATAGCTAATCTAACTTACATTTGAGACTTCAGATTATTTGGAAATTGTCTCAGTAATAAAACCATTTCTTACTGCACTTTAAATCATTGAGCTTGTTTATATGTAAAGAAAAGCTATCTACCAAACTATATAAAAAAGGACAATAAAATAAAAAAGCCACCACATTAACAACTGCCTTAATTTACCTTTGTTAAATACAATTTTTGAAGTCACACTGCGGTTGCCTTCAACAAAGCAGAATATTCTTCCAGGAAATGACAGCTCACAAACACCACTCAGAGTCACCAGGTTGTGACTTTAACCTCAAACCCCTAATCAAGGATTTGATCAAAAAAAAAAAAACACTGACCTCTTTTTATCCTCCATTAATTGTTCAAGTTATTTTCCAAGCATAAACACCAAGCATTTGATGGTTCTAGGTTCTTAAAAGTCATAGTTCACAGCTTTTCTTGGTCTCATATAAGAGTAAATTGAATATTTTTGGGATTTGGGATTTTTTGGTGTGTGACATCACCTTATACTTCAGCATTTTGTGATAAGCTTTTTCACAGTTTTCTGATGTTTTCACGAACAAATGATTCGAGAAAATAATCGGGAGATTAATCAGTTATGAAAATAATTGTTATTTGCCACCCTACTTAAATCCTATCTGCATTACAAGTGATGCACAGAATTAACACTTTTCCATCACACAGGATTTGAATTTAAGGAGTGGAGTGAAGGAGTGGTAAATGTATCTCAGAATTAATGTATATATATTTCTCAGGAGTCAAAGAGAAACTAATTCTGAGCAGCAGGTTTTTGCTACCACTAAAATGTTTTACTTTACTTTTTTTTTTACATGACAACATAAAATGTGTATGTCGCTCTTGTGCAGCTTGAACAGGAAATGAAAACCTATAATAACTCTCTCCGTGGTGTAATGCAGTTTCCTCTCATACTGTAAAGCTGGTAATGTCTGACAGATACAGTGATGAAAAGTTTGTTGCGAGGACAGCGGACTTAGATGCAAGTATTTTGTGATCACTGTGTAGAAGCTCATGATGATGTAACAAGGTCACCAATTTCACTTCCTTACCATGAAGGGAAGCCCAGTGTTACAGAGCTAGCACAGCAAATAAAAAAAGATGAGCTTGATGACTTGAAAAAGTACACCACATTACACATAAAACAGACAGCCAAATATGAAAGCGATGACAGCTGCAGTACCACAAGGAACTACGAAGTTCTTGCTGAAAAAGGTGCTATCAAACAATTTCAAACATGACATGAAACCAGGAAATCAACCAACATCCACACATTGGTTGCTGCCCTGGCACCTCAAGATAACACTTAGAAATCTACACAAACTAAACACTAAACACTAAACTTAAATCAGTGCAAAATGCTACTGCTGTTCTACAGGCATACTGTACTGTATACTGTGGCAATTTGGAAAGGGTTTTTGCAAACATGCCTTAAATCACAACCATGAACGTGAAAATTGACAATTGAGAACACCAAGATGTGACAAAACTCACAAAATAAATAAAATGAAACTCGCCAGAAAGCCCTGACCTCCCTGACCTCAACATTTTGGAATCAGTCTGGGAGTACATGAAGGGACAGAGGACATTGAGACAGCTTAAATCCACAGAAGATGTGGCAAGTTCACCAAGATACAACAACGTACTGGTCAAGTAGGCTACCTTAAAAAACTGCGCAAGTGTCCTGAGGAGACCTGCTGCTGTTTTAAAGGCAAAGTTGGGTCAAATATTGATTTGATTGATGTTCTCTCTGTTATTGCACTTTGTATGGAGTTACCAACAATTCATGACATTATTTTTTAAAATCACCCTCATTTTTTCACAAGCAGCTGACAACAATATTACTGCAAATGAAGATGCATATAAGGTTCATTTTATCCATTCAGCTCCACAAAATGGAAACACAACTGTTACTTTCACAGACACAGTGTATTTTAAATTTCCTTACCTTACAGCTGCCTCTGTTGTTTTCTGTTTGAGTCAGTACTTTTCTGAGAGGGAATAGAAAGCAGCTGATGTTTACATCTTGTTGATTTGGTCTGTTAGCATAACATTAGCGGTTAGCTGCCTAGCTAGAGTGAGGGGGAAAGCATTAGCTACATGATATGTTGAACAAATCTTCCCCTTCTCTCTTTAGACCGCATCATTTATGTGCTAGCTAACAGATAAAGTAATCTTAACGTACAGGAGGGGAACAGAAGATAGTTAATGTCAAAACGTTGAAAATTATTAATTAGACAAAAACATAAAGATATTAGTTAAAACTGCTTAATAAATCAAAACTGACTCACCTGTTGGCGACAAAAAGCGAACTGACAAGGGGTCAAAACTTCAAGTGGGTAAACGCTCATTTAACAGTAGTTAACCTCAAATCAGCGACACTCAAAAATCTCCAAAAACCCGAAAAACTGACGCCTGTTAACTCTCGTGTGTTTTACTTTTCTCCATCCCCATGAACAAACCATCCTCAACATAGGTGAGCTACTACCTTGACATCAGTCTGGCGTGTAGGCCTAATGCTGCGTTCATGACAGTTTGGAAAGTCGGAAATTACACGCTCCGACTCGGAAAAAAACATTTGAATTAATGAACTTTAATGAACCTGCCCGGAAACTTATTCATTCAGCTTTTTATACACCACTGTTAAAAATGTGCACCAGACTGAAACTTACCTTTTCATGAAAGTAGCAGTAGCAAATCTCTCTTATAAATTCAGGGCTTTCCTGTGCTGAAAGCTGCTGCTCTCTGGCTGGACATCTTCACCTGTCTTCCTCCTGGCTGAAGAAGTATTAGTATTATTCTTCTTAACTGACAGTCAACATATCAAATGTGCAGTATGGAGGAAAAATGCATAAAAATCACTTATATCAAAAAAAATATTTACCATTAACTGACAATGACACACTCCAGTAATGATTTTCCAGCCTCATTGTTGTTAATCTTTCTTGGCTCATAGTCTGCACTGTAGTTAGGAAGCACAGACGCAGGAACTTGGGTCTTAAGGAGTTGTAGCTGTAGTTGCAGTTGTAACAGCCTAAAGTGCACTGTACATTAAGAGCTATACTGCTAACTGCTAAGTAACTCTCATGCTATCTCTCTCTCTCTCTCTCTCTCTCTCTCTCTCTCTCTCTCTCTCTCTCTCTCTCTCTCGCCAGCTATGAACCTACATACTGAGCTATTCCTGGAAGGAGCTGCTAATTGTGCAACAATATTCTGTCTCAAACTTCTCAAACTTACTGTAGATCTTGCACAGAGATGATAAATCAATGCAATCAGCTTGTTTACATACGACTGCTGCCTATTAGCACTTATAATGAGCCAATTAAGTTTCCACACCCTTCTCCACATGCCTATAATGAGTGCAATATCACAACTGATCTCAGAAAAGTAGAAGATGAGTCAAGGACAGGTTGACAAGCACACTTAAGCAATTGCTTGACACCAAGGATTGTAATACATCCATGCTTGACACCCGTACAAGATAGCATATGCAATACCTGCATTGCTTGCCCTTAATGCTCACATTTTAACATAAGCTTAATGGTTGTTAAAGACATCAATATTGTTCACCAGGCAAAATCCCAAGTGTATATATTTTTTATCCGTTCAAAATCAAAACAAAGTGCAGCAATTTGCTGCATTTGTCTACGGACTGACAAATTTCTTGGTTTATTTTGCATTCTATTAATGTTCAGTGACATTGTGTTATACAGGGTGTGCACCTGACTGATAGCAAAGTCGGCCAGTAGTGCAGAAGTGAAAGGAGAACCTTGGGTGGCGGTATTATGTTATCTTTCTGTCCTCTAATAGCCTAGGTTTTTTTTTTGCTGTTTCAACTGATTGCAAAAGAGCCTCTGTGCTCTACCCTGCACGTTATCTGCACAATAACTGCCTTTGGTTTGATGGGAGAGAGAGGATATGTGTCATGTTTCTCTCTTTCTCTTTTGCATCAGTTTTTCCTATCACAGTTGTAACACATAAGATAACCAACGCAGTGTCCATACATAGTCACTTCATGTAAATCCACCACCTGTTTTACATGGTGGTGGTGACAAAATAATAATTACACCATATTCAAATTAACCAAAAGCAGAGGCATGAGACAAACAAACAACAAACACGCTCACTAGCCCGTGCCAAGCAGACTTGATCTCGTGAGAAACATTCACCGCTGTACAGGGAATTGGTCTGTACATTTTCAGTAATATTCAAAGCCACTCCCTGTTTATTTTTGATTACATTCCATTCAGCCTATTCATTTGAACACTCATATCCTTTTGGAAAACTGATTGTCACTGACTGTTGACCAATTAATATAGACACAAACAGAGACAGAATAGCAGTAGAATCATTATAAACTCTGAATTAAACTGCCATGCTCGATGAGGACGTTGAGAATAATTTTGTTAATTGGAACCGGTAATAGAAGCTTTACTGTCATGTAATCCCTGTGGCAAATGCGCAAGCGGATCCCTGCAAGACCATAATCAAATTCATTACTGTTACAATTGTCAGTTAGACTTTTGCACCATCAGTTTCTCAGTCATGTTACATTAAATGTTAATATATAACCACACTACCACAGTAGATCATTCTTTACACCATTGTATCGATCCAAGAGGAAAAAAGGAACAAGCAAACTGCAACAAAGAGATGGATGAACAATAAAAGTGCAATAAACACAGTATACTGGTGTTCTTGAGTGCTGAATCAGTATGTTTGATACATACTGCAATATTCTTTTTCTTTTTTTTTTGTCACTTTTGACATTTATAGTCATTGGGTCTCCAGACGTGATAATGCATGTATTCTGTCACTTGAGCTAATGAAGGCATGTGGGGTGACAGAAGCCTAATAAAACTGATTCAGGGTCTGCTCATGAACACTCTAATGCATTCACCAGAGCCTGAGATCATAGGCAGCGTCCCAAAACAACATGCTGAGTCATCATTTTCTTAAAAAAAAAAAAAAGAAAAGAAAAAAAAAAACAGAAAAAAGTTAAGTGATCAGACTGAATATATTTACAGGCAGCCATTGAATACACTTGCTTAAGCAACTGCAGACCATCTCAGTGATTGCTTGCTCAGTGATGCTTGCTGCCAAGGTCTTTTCAGCCTCAGATGGACAATTAAATTAAGTTTTTGTAAGTAATTGAACTTTTGGATCTAATTCCTGCCTGCTCTTTACCCTGCAGAGTCCGAGACACAGAGAGGTTGGATTTAAATTTTGTGAAGAACAACATAAAGAACAAGTGATATAAATTAAACGCAAGCCGGTGAGAGAGACCCTAAACGTTTATTAATTCTTTTTTAAGTAACAACACTCAAATGTATACATAATGACGTCACAGATGCTCAAAAATGGCAAAAGACTAAAAGGTTTTTGCACCACATGGGAAGGATTGTGATTAAAAGTTTAAAATACTGTACAGAAATGTGCTTTTACTGATGTTAATGAGTGTTAAGTGATGAATTAGACTTCAGCTACCATTAGTTTGTTATTACATGACTCCAAATAACTGGCTACAGCCAACAGCTGGTTAGCTTACCCTAGCATACAGACTGGAAGCAGGACACCACTTGGCTTGGTCCAAATATAGCAGCGTCAGCACCTACAGCACCCTCTAAAGCTCACAGATTAACAAGTTATTTCTTGTTTGCTTAGTCTGTACTAAGTGTAAAAATGACAAACTGTGGTTTTACGATGGGTGATGTGGCAGACCATTCCTTACCAGTCTTGTCATCACAGTGATGTTGACTAATACTGGATTCCTAAGAGTTAAAAAACCAAATAGCACTTGTCACTTGTCAGTCTGTCAACTTGTCAGTTCTGTCTGATGGAGCAACTGGACAACTTATGTAATACTGACACCATTTCTCAACTTTGGTGTGGCACAAGATAAAATCAGCTCAAATGCATATCCATCTTCAGTTGAGTGCATGTTATATTTAACAACATTATCAAACACTGCATCCTTCCAGTTATTACATAAGGACTGCAATTCCTTTCAAAAACCACACACATGCACGTGCACACACACACACACACACACACACAAGATGCATGCACGCACGCACGTACGCACGCACGCAAACACACTTAATGTGAGCAAAACTATTGCTGCATGGTGCTGCAGAAAGCAAAGTCCCTCCCCTCAATTTTATGACTCGTTTTTTACAGACTAGTGAGAGAGTGAAAAAGAGAGAGCGGGAGTGAGGATGTAGAAGAGCGGTGATGCTCTGGTAGCCAGTCTTGTGCAGACCCTCAACAACATACGGAGGATTAATCGTTCAGCATCCTTTCATGAGCACAGGTGCCAATCATTGTGTAAACGTGGCAAAAGTGCTATTCTTTGAGCGAGAAAATATACATAATGGAGGATGTTTCTATGCTGATGCAAAACCCAAAGTGGAGACAAGAAGTTTCAACAACCAATTTAATTTTTTTCACAATCTGAGCAAAGGTAAAATAGATCTGTAGTGAACAGGGAAGATGTCTTCCTCTCCTGGCATCAAGTCTCGGGAGCATGTGGACATGGTGTACATCTCCATTGAGACAGCTATTGCCCTGGCCTCTGTGCTGGGGAATGTGCTGGTAGTGGTGGTAGTGTGTGTGAACCGGGCTCTCCGCAATACCACCTTCTGCTTCATCGTGTCTCTGGCCGTGGCTGACATCGCCGTGGGAGTCTTGGTCATCCCTCTGGCTATTATCATCAGTCTGGGATTTAGCACTCAGTTCTACACCTGCCTCTTCCTCTCCTGCCTTCTGCTGATCATCACCCAGAGCTCCATCCTTTCCCTGCTGGCTATCGCCATTGACCGATATCTCAGAGTCAAGATTCCCACCAGGTGAGGAACTGTTTAAAACGCTTAGTTACACTTTGACTGGTGTAATCAGGTTAACTCATGATTTTGACAGGAAGACTGTATTGGTTGATGGATGTTGTGATGACATTAAAGTATCAATATGGTAACTGACAGTCTGTTTATGGTAAGAGCATAAAATATTCATTACTGAAAGCAAGAGGAAGTAGATGTTAACATTATCTCTTACTGGTTATAATTACTGTCAATTACAGGCTTCTTGATATAATCTAGACCCTTCCCACTCTAATATGTGTCACTCACATGTTCATATCATTAGCCTGATTACAGTAGACTTCAGTTGACATCACATTACACCATGTGTCTCTTCCCCTAGTCAAATCAACACAAATAACTTTTATTTATATTATGTCATATTACAAAATTGTCTTAGATTGACCTCAGAACTAACATGTTGGTAACAGTCTCTTAATTGAACATCAAAACGCCTTACTTTTATGAAGAAGCTACTTTCTAAAGTTGCCTCAAGAATATTCTAGAAGAACAAATAATTGTAGTGGTAGTACCAATAGTCTCCGTTTTTTTATCTTTACACTTTTTCTTAGCATCATAGAGCTAAATGTGTGTTTTTATCTTGAAGAGAGTCAATCAGGAGCAAGTGGTTCTCAGTGTTGAGGTCTGACATGACACCATATAAACCATCTCCTTGTTTAATGCAAATCAATGGACTGCACATTAAAAGCTTTTAAGCAAATTAAAATGTCCTTGTCTGCCTAAATAACTGACATGGGCACAGTTTGTTAAGAGATTTGGCAGTTTCCCATACGACTTTTTGTTTAGCAGGAGGAGCCTGATGTCAAAAAGAAAGATGCTTCTGGACAGAAATCTATAGGCTGGCATTTGTTCAAAGAAACACTATTACAGTAGTGTAATGCACTGCAATGCATGATTGATTGAAAACTCTTGTCTTCATTCCATGTCTAACATCCTTATTCAGGTACAGCATCATAGTGACCCAGGGGAGGGCATATGTGGCAGTTTGTCTCTGTTGGATCCTCTCCTTCCTCACTGGATTGGTTCCAATGATTGGCTGGAATAACCGTGATGCCCAAGCAAACCGCAGCAGTTCCAGCGAGATTGTCTGCAAATTCACCACTGTCATAAGGATGGACTACATGGTGTACTTCAATTTCTTTGGCTGGGTGGTGGTACCGCTGACCATAATGATCGCTCTGTATGCAGAGATCTTTAGGGTGATCCGGCGGCAGCTGAACCGACGCGCTGAGGCCACTTGTGATGGGGACAGGTACTATCGGAAGGAGCTGAAGCTGGCCAAATCACTGGCCTTGGTGGTCTTCCTCTTTGCTGTGTGTTGGCTGCCGATACACATTATAAACTGCATCGACTTCTTCTGCTCAAAGTGCTACTTACCAAAGTTTGCCACATATATAGGGATTTTCATGTCCCATGTGAACTCAGCCCTCAACCCATTGGTTTATGCATTCAGGATAAAGCGGTTCCGTGTCACGCTGGTCCAGATCACTCGCCGCTGCATGTTATGTAAATCCACAGAGCCCACCCCATGCCCCACCAGTACGCCAGCCATAACGGAGAAAGTGGATGCCAACTTGTAACAGGGACCGGAGTACTTCTGGGTACACTGCTTACAGTGAGATGGTGCAGTGATGAGACTCACAGGATAACGTAGTATTTGGAATATGAGCCAATCAATACAGACAACAAAGCACTTGGACACATTTCTTTGAGTCAGACCTTAAGAAAATGAACCTGCACTGAGAAAAAAAAAATCCCCATCATTCTGCATAATTTTGTTTTCACTAAATGCTTTCTTAATTGATTCATATTGAATTATAAAATATATGTCAACATAAAAAGTAATACAACAAATGTTTCATGTTCAAAAAGCTTGTCGGTATCTTCACCAGAATAAACATGCATAGCTACATGGTTTAACACACTCATTCTTTATATCACATTTACAACAATTCAAATAAATTGCAAGATTGAGAGTCCACAGCCATGGCACCAACTCTCTGCGTGCTTTGAGCAAAGTGCTAACATGCCGAAATGGCAATGCTATCATGCTGATGCTAAGCAGGTATTATGCTCACTATGCTCAGTTTCTTAGTTTATCATGTTAGCACGCTAACATTTTATAATTAGCACTTAACAGCATTATTTTTGCAGATATTTGGAGGTAAGTCTATGCAGTATTTCATGGGAATCCATCACACAGTTGTCAGTAGACTGACTGACCATCATTGCTAAACAAAGACATGCCAGCAGTATAAAAATGAGATTAGATTTAACACCAAGAGTTAATTTGGGAATGCTAAGCTTGGATGTTTGAATAACCACGTGAAGAAAAGCATCAATCAGAACGGGAAGATTTATTGAGTTAAGATCAATAGAGAGTAGTACAGTGTGTTCATGTTTCACAGAAGACCATTCAATATACAGAGAAGGGAAAAAGGCTCTGCCAGGAATGTAAATTAACAGTGAAGTCACTAAACCTAATGAAACAAAACTCTGGCAACATCAAAGCAATTCAGCCATTACTCTTTATCACAGGATGCAGGCACCTCTTTAGCTAATTCAGCTGGTTTAAAGCCATATTTCAATAGCTATGGCAGATTGTTGAAAAGGCTCTAAAGCATTTCAGTAAATTACCCGCAGACCATTATGGTGAAGTGATTTATTCCTACACTAAACCCCAAAGCTTCTGCTAAAGCTGCATCAGTTCTGCTTTGTCATCATTTTGACTTCTGCCTGTTTTCAGTCACACTTCTTATCATATCAATAATATACATATAAAAAGGTCTAATCTGGCATAGACTATTCACATTTAAATGTTTTTTGTCATTTGATGTGTGATATGATATCACCAGGTTTGTGTATGTACTTACGGCTCCAGAGAGATATTTATTTAACTCAGATTTATATACACTCACCTGCCAGGTATACTGACAACCTGAGACTTTAACACACAAAACCTTCACTGTTTATCTCTCTGCCTCTGTCGGTCCCTCGCTCACAATCATCTCAATACGTATTTTACCATCTGTCACCTAACCTTCATCCTTGTTGAGGGATTTGAAACTGCTGAGTATTGTCTAATCCTCAGCCCACGTCTTAGTGAGGTAGGTGCCACGTATCCAATCTGGCATTTACTTCTTTCACACCGCACGCCGCTGTAGCTTGTGGCCTACCGGAGGCTACAGGGCCACAGGCATGGTATAGGAGTGGAGACAAAAAGCCAAGAGTCTCTATTTTTTGTGTTCATCTTATCGCTATCCTAGACTAATCTTGTGTGAGGTAAGACTTTGAAAAATTTGTGAATTTTCATTCAAGACATTATTTGTATTTTAATTTCTGAAAGCAATTATAATATTTTCATCATTTAAATATTCTCAGAGGACTAAAGGAAACTTTTCATTTGCAGAACCAAACCACTATAAAATGGCTGACACAGATGGAGCAGAGGATGGCCAAGACCTGGAGGCTCCAGAGGAAGAGCTGGATGACGAACAGCAAGCCCTACTGCACTTCAGTAAATACAGTGAAGCCCGGCGAGCGCTACCTTGGGAGCAGTGGACCTTCCGAGAAAAGGCAAACTATTACATGGACCGCATGTTCCTCGGGTTGTTGGTCATTTTTTTCTTCATGCTAGTGGGAGAGTTTGGCTATAAAATGTGGTATGTGACGAACGTGGAGAAGATCGCAGAGTTTGTGTCAGACTCGGTGGTCTTTGTGTCCAACTGGCTCTTCACACAGGAGAGACAGGAGCAGCTGGCTGAATTGTAGTTTGATAATAGAGCAACTGTTAATCTATTGAGTGTACCCAGTATTGTTGTGTGGGATGAACACTTGATTGTGTTTTATACAATGTTTTAGGTGCATGTGGCATTACAAATGCCCAGTAAAGAATTCATTTATAGCTACATCTTGACTAGTGATGCATCAATATATGAATGATTTCTGAACTTTATTTTTGATGGTGACTTAATGGAAATAAATGATGTGTGCAATTAACTGAATCATTGTTCTGTCCTACTACACACAAGATTTGTAGTATCTCCACCTTCTGGTCGTCATCTTTCATTTGTGCAGTTTTAGTTTTTGTGCATGCCAGTTTTATTCTCAATAAAATGTCATTTAATTTTAAAAGTGGCATCAGAGCAGATACAAAATATGTGATAACTGGCACAAATTTAAGTCATCTAACAGACAATAATGGGGAGATTACTGGGTTTCAAGGAATTAAATTGAGCTACGATAAACTCATTCTCCTCTACTCATTCGCTCAAAAGAATTACATATACATCAGCCACATGGAGTTTTTATATCCTTCTGTCATTGGAGATAATTCGATTGTATTATTTGTAAAAAAAAAATTAATAGTGGGTTAAAACTGCTACTAATAAAAAATAATAATCTAAATGACACAGTATTTTATATTTCAATAGAAAGTGTTCAGAAAATGATTATTTATATTCTAACTACATAATAAATAATGTTGCAACTAGGCTGCAACTAAGGATTATTGTTATTATTGATTTTTGAGTTAGGGATTATTTTCTTGATTAATCTGAAAACAGTTTTCTGGGGAAACAGAACAGACAGTACAAGTCAAATATATTCAATTAACTGTTATTCTGTTTTACTATCAAGACAGAAAAAGCAGCAAATTTTCACATTTGAACAGCTGAAACTAGTGACTTTTTTGTCTGAAAAATGACTAAATTAATTCATAATCAATTCATTATCTGTCAATCAACTATTTAGAGTATGTCTCCTTCTCATACATAGCCATTTGAGCCACAGTTCTATCCAAAACACTGTATATTTTCCTCCCTCGTCTTGGTCATATCCATATTATCAAAACAGCTGAAACAGATCAATTTTCTTTTGATTGACTGATCAATTAATCAACAATTAATCTCAATGATGGAATTGGCTATTTAAAATGTCATTAAACCCAGCCTAATCAAGTAGGGCTTTCTTTGGTTACTTTTACTATTTTGACTAAGTTACAAAAATGGATGGATGACAAAGTCCCAGCAGGTTGACACATGAAAGTCTCTAAATTGACTCTGTTCTCCTCGTTCAACTGTTGTAAAACCTAAAATAATCCATGTCCTTTCAAAGAATGAGAGGCACGATTGAGCCCAAAACAGTTTTGACAGTGATGTGGCCCTTCTTGTTTAGGATCTGTTGTATATTAATCCACCAATCCTACAGAACTTTAATTTAGTAAGCACATTACAATCAGAAGGTTATGACATGAAACATAAATTTCACACATAAACTAATTACAGTAAGTTATACGTTTGAGTAAGTAAGTATTAAGCTAAGCAAAACAAACCTGAGGTGTAATGGTTGTAGGTGCTATTTTTATGCAGAAAAGAAAACCCCTAGGTCCTGGTCTCGTCACTGAAATGCTTACGTAGGTGTCTGTCATCCAAATGGACCAATTAAATCGACACACTCCATTCTTCTACACACTCTGGTACCGCCCCCTCTTTCTCCCGGATTTCCTAGCGTGACCGACGTTTCGTGTCTGTGTAGACTTAAAAGTAAGTCAAGATTTCAGCTTTGTAAACTGTGTGTGCGTTAATTACTCTGTGTATCACAATGTTCTGAATACGACACATACTGTACGGCTGCTTTAAATAACGGATAAATGTGACGCTGCTGGAGTAGAACCTCGGCACAAATGGAGGACAGGCAGACAAACACTGGGCGCCATGCTGCCTCCGTTAGCTCCGAATCACATGTACCACAGCTAACACGGTTCAACACCGTCACAGAGGCTGTTACAGCAGCTGTGGACAGCGAAATAAAAACTCTTGACACTCTTAACGACAAAAACCCTAACACTCTTATTATTCGGGTTTTCTAACCAGCGTGTGATTGAAGTTTAACATCGTATTAGTATACGGGTAGCCGAAGCTAACGTTAGCTAAGCTGAAGTCAAACTGGGCTCCTCCCAAGCAGATTTGCTCACAATAGTTTGACTTTTTTACAGTAATTTGAAATACCTCCTGTTATTTTTATGCTTTAGTTCTGTATGTTTAACAGTATTTACTTAATGTACGTACACAACATTATCATTATATAGATAAAGTTAAAAGGAAACTTATCAAGGAGGGAAAGAAAGTACGTCGGCTTCCTAGTGGTGATTAGAAGCTGCAAGTTATTTGTTATTGACAGGATACTATTGCATTTGGGTCATTTAGCGAATACAGAAACTTGTAGTAATGTTCAAGAATACAACACTTAATACAGTATAATGTCGAAAATGTATGTCCACTGTCATGACTCTTTATACCACAATTATAGCTAAAATTAACTGTCAATTGCAATAAATCTTTTATATTATTAATGCATAGAATTATAGAATATTTATGTTTTTTGGACTGTTGGTCAAAGACAAAACAATATATTGAATATGTTGCTATTTTTGTGTATTGTACAGACCAAACCATTTATTGAGAAAATAATCAGCATATTCATTAATAATAAAAATAATCATTAGTTGCAGACCCAGCAACTAACAAGACTAGGACTGTAAATAATTAAATTCTTGAGGTGTTGTTTTTTAATGGTTTAATTTTTCTATACATCTTTTGCCAAAATCGTTGCTGTTGATTGAGTGATTGATCAATCAACAGTTAATCGCATGATTATTTATTTGGTTAGTAAAATGTTAACAATTGCCCATCATAATTTACTAGGGCTCAAGTTGTCATATTCTCGTTGCTTGTTTAGTCCAACCAACAGTCCAAACCTCAAAGATATTCATGTTACAGTGATAGAGGTAGGGGAAGTAGCAAATCTCATTAACCTAATGATGATTTGAAACGCAGGAACTGGTGATTGTTTGGCAATTTATCCTGAAAAATGACCAACAATGATTATTAACATAGATGCAGATTGGTATCAGATGATCCATTAACTGTCTAATTATTTCAGCTGTGGATTATGGAATGAGTTATTTAAGATGCCTAAGCAAGTAAGGTCTTAAGTTATTTGTAGGACATTATGAATCACTTGAAAAACATGATGGATGACAAAGTTCCAGCAGGTTTTGACACATTAAAGCCTCAAAGTTGTGGTGTCACTCTTGTTCATTTACTCTCCCTGATTAGACGTCAGTGTTGCATAACTTGCAAATTGTTCACTTGTTATTTTGTATTTCTTGTGTCGATACAGAATGCGTTACGTGGCCGCTTACCTCCTGGCTGTACTCGGTGGAAACACCAGCCCCTCTGCAAAGGACATCAAGGCCATCTTGGGCAGCGTGGGAATTGAGGCTGATGATGAACGCTTAAACAAGGTATGCCATTTAACAACAGTATATTATGCAGTTACCAAAACTATTCAAATTCATTTCCAGTGAAGATGCCCTGTTTCTAAAGTTAAATCTTATATATTTGTTTGCAGGTCATAAGTGAGCTGAATGGAAAAGACATCAATGAAGTCATGAACTCAGGTAAATGCCCCTGAATAAACAAAACTAAAGATTTCAAGATGTTTTACACGGAGGGTGGCTACAAATGATATTTCTTACCTTTTTTTTCCCACAGGCCTCTCGAAGTTAGCCTCTGTACCAGCAGGTGGTGCTGTGGCGGCTCCTGCCGCTGCTGCTGGTGGGGCCGCTGGAGCTGGGGCTGCGCCTGTTGCTGGTACGTATATCCCCCCTTGTTCTTATCTTAAATGGATAAAGAAGTCCTAAATGTTATTAACAGACATTATTGCATTTCAATAGCAATACAAATACTATGATACCCTCTCAAATAAAGCTGTACGAATGAATATATTGGATATCAGTGCTGCTGAATATTCTTGCTGACATTTGTCTGTAGTATTGACTATTTTCTTCATCTGTCTCGTTTCCAGCGGAAGAGAAAAAGGAAGAGAAGAAAGAGGAATCAGAGGAGTCAGACGAAGATATGGGTTTTGGACTCTTTGATTAATCTGCCTTCTCTGCTTTTAAAAAGCAATAAAAATGTAAAAGGTTTACACAAATCATTGTGTTTCTGTCCTTTAATTAGTTTAAACTATATCCTACAACTTATGACTGCACATGGGTCATTATTCCTAAAGACATTAGCGTTAAGTGTTCTACAAATAAATTGTCTGGCTTTCTGGGCTTGATGTTGAAAGCTATTTTGTTGCCTGCTAAAAATAGTCAAGACTGGACAACCCGTCATCATTAGGCAATCCAGACTCTGCATGTGGTCAGTCTGTCCTGCTGGTGACAGATAACTGAAACCACATAATGGCATAGACTTAAAGGGACAAGCAATGATCCGAACCCAAATGTAGCCGCAGCACTAAAATTCAAAACAGGTTTGGAACCTACTGTCACGCCACAGCTTGAGTGACAGTTTTAAGCGTTTCATATATTAAATTACCAAAGTTAAGGTTTTGTAATGGTGTTGGGTTGGTTCACAAAGATGTGGTTTGTAAACAAAAGTAAAACAGGCCTATATTTTAAGGACCAGAAAGTGATTTTCCATTTGTAATTTTTCAGTTGTCTTTCTAACCACTCATATTTTGTTGTTGGACAGTTTACAGATTTCCACCTCTGCAAAGACAGACTTTAGTTAAAATGTTTGGTCAGGTAATTGTCAAACTGTTTTGAAATATACAACTTCACAAATTAAAGGGAGAAGAGGTCACAGTAGGTAATGTTCCTCAAGCAATATGTAAGTTCATTGGTAAAGATTTTGGCTTGTCAAACAGCTTTAAGGAACAACATTAATAATGCCTGCTGTCTAGAGTCGTGGTGTTGGGCGTGCAGGGGCACCACAGTGCAATATTCTGTCATTGTTATGACTGACTCCTTTTATGAGCCAAGACTTTTGTGAAAAAGGTCCATCATATTGTATAAGACGTGAGTCATCAATCGCTTAACAATGCATCTTTGGTAATTTCATTTTAATTCAGCTTTGACTGCGTGACAGCATTGAGTCACTGAACTTGTCAACAGATTAGTAATCCTTGGAAGAAATGTGACCTTAATTTTTCCACTGTCTGCCTCCTTGCACTTGTTTTTCTCTTACCTGATGGTCACCTGAACTTTAGTCAACAAATTAAGCAAGTTGAGCTTCACACATCACCTGATGAACAAAAAAACATACCTGAACTTAATTAATTTGGCCTCACGGTTCACATTAACACCAGTTACATTTACAGTATGACTTTCATGTGGCACTAGGACTGCTGTGTTCACCAAGGGGTTCCTTCATCTTTCTCTCTGCCATCCTCTGCTCTCTGGTGTGTTTGAGTGCATGTGTTGCATAGCGCTGTGCTGCACAAAAATCCCCTGTGAGCCCATTAGATGTGGCAGGATATTGAGTCGGTCCTCTGTGTTGTTGGAAAAGTCGTCTGCCTGCAGGGGAACCTGTTCCACAGGTGAGAGCCATCACTGCATGCTGTAACCACGCAACTGACAGACTGTCACATTCCATCTCATAATTGCCTGGCAGCCTCCGTGCTGGGAGACTATGATAGATGCTGTCAACAAGATCAATGTTCTTAACACATATGAACACATCAATGTAAAGCTATTTTTACCTTATGTTCCTGTGTGCGTGGTTTGTTACAAAACACCTGAACTGATCAACCCACACTGTGCACAGTGTGGGTTGATCAGTTCAGGTGTTTTGTAGGTGTCAGCAGTTGTTGTCATGACATGTTCATTTCAGTCTAGGTTGTTGCAGGAATGTGCTTTTTAAAAAGAAAAATACATGCTTCCGTACGTACAGAGGTGTGGCAGAGTCAAAGTCTTGTCAATTGCTCCACCCTTCTTGCCCTACATTACTACATGATATCTCCTAAAGCAGTGCTTACCAACCTCTTCGGTGCTCACCCCGTAACACGAGGTAGTGTTTACTTGTGACCTCTGTCACTGGTTCGAAAAAGTCTGAAAAATAAATATAATTTTGTGTCCTTTCCTTTTCTTTTTTTTTTAACTGCTTTTAAATTGAACTTACAGACCCCAGGCAAGGACACTCTGCCTTAGAGCTCAAGAGGGCGCTGGACCCCAACGATAGCGCCACCAGTCATAAAAAGAGGTATTCACATCCACAAGTCTTTGACTTTCCTTAACAAGTCCAAGACACTACATATTAGCCTGCAGCTGTTTGACGCTTCTCATTCCATTAGATTTCACCTTCCCCTCAGTAAATGGAGAAGTTGATTCCTTGGAATGAAAATGTCTGAGCTTGATGATTGTTTTCCTGGTGGACTGAGGCTGAGAGTGCCAATAGTGAGGCCTGTCTTAGCAAGACTTGATTTTGTATTGCTTTATTTACCGTGAAGAGTTGCACAGTTATGGAGATATAAGTCCAGTTAACAAAGAATAAAGTTTGACATTGATATATAGTTTCATAATGACAAAGGAAATTACAGTTTCCACAGTGAATTAAATATCTTTTATTTGAGAATGTAATATGAATGCCAGCACTCATATCAACAAACATTAACATCATTTCACATTTTAGTTTCTATTAAATACATTTTACTAATTTTTAAATCCTAGAAATGTCAAAAAAAACCATATTGCACAGTTGTGTAGCTTATATACATGAAACGTTATTGCATTGCTATGTCATGATATTACAAATCGATGTGCAGAAAATGTCTCATCCAGTGTTGGATTTATCAAAATCTTTAGAGTCATTAGTAGAATCGGCCATCTGTGATTCTGAAATATCGCCACATGTTTTAAGACTGCTTACTTTTGTATTTAAGTTGATGTGTCACGTCAAAGGCGTTAGTCAGCACTTCACTTTAGAGAAGCATCTGCCAAAGACATTCAACTTGTTTCTCACAGCAAACACTGTGTTGCAACAGAATTACACAATTTCTCTAACATAAAAACAGTTTCAGTTTAAAAATGAAAATGGCAACAATTCTGTGCCTGTACATGGGCTTAAAAGTTGTGTCAGGCAGCTCCTCTGATCTTGAAAAAAAAAATGTTTGTAAAGGGAACTGATGCTTGCAACACGTTCTTAACCACATCTGTGGTGTTCCTGCAAAGCTATGTTTCAGTCATCACTGTCAGACCATGGATGATCTGTACATGCCTGCAAAAGAGAACAAAAAGAGTTTTAAACAAAACGTCTTGGTGAGCCTGTTTTTCTCAGTCACTGTTCAAATAGATATGTACAGATGTACGCAACATATTGAAATAAATCCAAGGCAAAGAGCTGTGACATTTCCATTTAAGGGAGAATTGAATCAATATTATGCTTATACATGGGTTAAATAATATAAGAAGAACACTGTGTCTACTTCCTCTGCCATATTTCTTTATGCCTGATTCTTACCTGTTTATATTCAAATCTGTCCTGTAGATAACGGTTCCCCAGGTAGGTAATGTGACCTATATTCTGCCTGGAGAGCCCGGCTATCCTGGCTGTGAAGTCCAGCGTAAAGGCCAGCTTGACAAGCTCAGGTGCTGTCGGTAGGACGGTGGGAGGATTGTGGGTCGGTGTTGCTTCGTTTTCTAGGTAAGCATCGGCCAGCCTCTGGAAGGAAGAGTACGACATCCGCTGGAAGAAGTTGCTCAGGGTGGGGTTGTCTCTCAGCTGGGGGAGGTAAGTAGAAGAAGGTTCTCAGTAACTACAGACACTTTGATTTACTGCTTATGAATGTTCGTGGTAAAAAGTAAAAATCCACCATGACCCCCAGAGGGGTTACAGATGGATACAGATGATGAATTTTCACATCACATCAAGATCATTTCACTATTTCAGATATCATTTTTCAGCAGCGTTCAATAGTCATACAATTTAAAGATTTTTTTGTTTCCATTATTGATTAATCTGCAGATTATTTTCTCTAGAAATTGTTGGCAATTAAAAATATCTGGAAATGTTGAAAAATGCTCATCACAATTTACTGAAATAATATATTCAGTTTACAACCACATACGACAAAGTAAAGCGGCGCATCCTCACATTTAAGTAGCTGTAGCCATCGAATGTTATTGCAAATTCACATCAAAAATGAAATGATTATCAAAAAAAGTCGACTAATTGTTTCAGCCCTACACACATTTAAAATCCATTGTGTAATTATCAGTTTTATGAGACATTAAAGCAAAGCAGCCACATGACCACACACTAAGAATTTATTCTCTAAAGCTTTTCCTTGCTTCCTCTTTTAACACTTTCACTTCTGTTATCTATACTACAAACCCGCTCTCTACGGCTTCTCCAGGCACTTTTGAGGAACACAGAATATCTAACTCACCGAGAGATAAAAATGGACGCTTGAGGAAATGCTCCTGCACCAGAAAAGTTAAAAACGTCCCACTAAATTCCAAAGGTTGATGATGTACAACTCTATATACAGGGTGGGTGCCTTCTCCCTTTAATATGAAGTCATACCATGGAGTTTGTACTTTCTATTGCTTGACTTTATGGTACCTTTTATGGTTTATTTATGCTCTTTCACTTTCTGTTGAAACTGCTGAGGGAACTTTGACAAACCTGCTTGTTAGAAACACTCGGCCTCGTTAATTCCTTAATGATTAACTGAATGCATGATTTTATGAACAGCTAAACTGTAGTGTCATCAATTCAATTATTTCACCCAAAGCAACAGCAGAATACCAACCTTGTCGTCTATGGCGTCACCCTGCTCCTTTGTCAAAGCAATGATCCTGTTGATCACTTCCTCTGAGATAAAACAAAAGCAAGGGGAAGTATGATCAACATGGAGAACCACTTCATGACAGCAGACTCTTTAAAATACAGGTATAGAGATTTTATTTGAGTGGATATAATCTCATTTTTGAGTAGAATAAGTAGATGTGTTGCAATAAATTCACACAGGCAACAGCAAAAAACTTGAAAAACTAAACTTTTGCTGCCAATACTTATTTTAAATTGTTGCCATGCAGTTGACATTATTCACACTTGATGATAATTTAATGAGCGTAAAGAGAAGCTGTTTCTCACCATCTGAGAGACGCTGTTCTTCCTCTTTTTCTTTAACCTCGTGGACAATTTTCTCCAGTTCCTCTGACACCTTCTCATAGTATAAGTACGTCGGTTCTACGCTGACGACAGCTGCAAAGCAACATTCAGTTATTTGTAAATGTACTTGAGCATTAATGAGCAGTTTTACAACAGTGCTATGACCCAGATCTCTACTAATTCTGATTACACAAGTATTTTAACACTGAAACATGTTTTATAATCACACACATGCAGTATATTTATCCAGTCAAGTTCAATCCCACAATTTACCTTCAATTTCTGTGATGTCAGGTTTATTTGGTTTGATCAGAGATAGTCGCCTTTTGGAGAACCTTCTTTTTATGGACTTTCTTCTCATGGACTTCTTCCTCTGCGAAGTGACTGGAGTTGTAGGCAGGCAGGCGGGCGCAGCATCAGAGACCTCTTCCGCTGCCGAGTCCTTCGCCGTCACTGAAGGACTGTCCTGCGCTTCGTCATTGTCCTCATTAGACTTCCGAGAGAAAAAGCCAACTATGACTTTCCAAAACGAGGGTTTCTTATTCTTCTTGGATTTTTTGCTCGTTTTCCCTGATTCTTCAGGATGTTTTTTAGGCTGATTTGCGGGAGGTTCGACCACAGGAAGTGTAACAGTTTCCCTGTAGTTTAATCCCTCGGCCAGGTGAAGGGAAGGGTCGCTGGAATGTCGTCTTATCCTTTTTGTCACCCACTTTTCTTTCTTCTCAGCCTTCTTATCGCCCAGCGCCCCATCGTTTAGGCTGAGGCTGCGCTTGACGTAAACCTCCAGCAGGCGGATTGTATCCCTGTGAGGTACTGAAATCAACTGGCCGTTAATGGGCCTTTGGTTTTCTGTCTTTGTTTCCATAGTGAGATGGCTGTGAGAGGAAGAAAACAACATCACACATACAATAGGTTATTGGATTGTTGAATTTCACTTGTGCTTCATGTAGACAAGGAGCTGAAACAGTTATTTGATTATTTGAAAAAGTTGATCAATAATAAAGTAAATATCTTTGGGTTTTGCAGTGTTGGTCGTACAAAACAAGCAATTTGAAGTTATTAACTTGGGTTTTAGAAAATATAATGGGAATATTTTCACTATTTCAACATTTCATAAACTAAAAATGTAATCAGTTAATCAAGAAAATACTTATCAGGTTGTTCAGTAATGAAAATAACAATGAGCTGCAGCCTAAAAAACTATCAAGTTTGCAACAAACAATTATTTTCATTATCAGTTAACCTGCCAATCACTTTCTTGTCTACATAATTGAATCCATTACATGCCAGAAAACAGTGAAAAACATCCATCACAACTTTGCAAAGCCCATGTTTACTTATTCAAATTGCTTGTTTGTCTGACCAACAGCCACAAACACAAAGACGTTCAACATTACTTGAACAGAAGGCTTTTACATTACATGAGAGAAGTAGTTTTTTTTTTGCTTTAAAATGATTTAAACGTGAATCAGTCATTAAAACAACTGCCAGTTAATTTTAAGTCAAGTGACTTATTGGTTAATGGATAATCATGTCATCTTTAAATTACACACAGAGAGCAATACTTGTTTGTTACATAATTACACCATACAATACCATACACTTGTTGAGTCTTATTCTATTCTAATCTATTCTATTGCAAATATATGGATTTTAAAGCTACAGAAATGTAGACAGGTTTTCAAACACACACACAAAAAAAATTAAAATTAAAATAAAAAATAAAAATTCAGAGCAGGAAGAAGTGTAAGACGAGAAGGTGGACTGTGGTTTTTCAATCCTACAGGCTAAAACTGACTCACCTCGTCCCCGCACACAGAGTCTTCAGAGCTCCGTGTTAGTTTGTAGTAGTCGTTGAATGCGTGCGACTGGCGACGGCTTGTCTTAAAAACATCTGTTTTCGTCAGGAAGGGACTCTCCGGAGTGAGTTTACCTGCTCACATACTTCATCCATTTTTGGACACGTCGCCGCCCTCTTCCCTCACCTGAAGCCACCTCCCGCCACCTTTACCAAAGAAAGACAGAGTGGGCGGAGGAGCGGAATATATCACCTGTCTTCCTGGTTTTACGCTAAAATCCACAGACGTCAGGTTGAACACTTGTTTACGGTTTCGACGTCGCTCTCGGTTCTGCTTCGACTGCACGTCAGCTCCAGTGCTTTGGCCCCGGCCACGTTTTACAGGAAGTTAAAAGTACAATACACTTCCTATCAGAGGCTGCGTTTGACAAGAAACGGTCATATGCTGAAATGATGCAAATATCTATCTATCTATCTATCTATCTATCTATCTATCTATCTATCTATCTATCTCAGTTTCATTTGCAGGTGCATTTATTTCAGTGAGTTTAGGCTAAATAACAAAGTCTCTGTATCATGCATATAAGCATCACCAACTACATCCTCCAAAATGACCAGTATGCATTGCAGGACAGCTGTACATTATAAGACTGCATTAGTTATAGCTATGGCTATAATAAACTGGCAACCAAGTGTGTGTCTGAATTATGACCAGTAAGATTAAAAAAAAAAGTAAAAGGTAAAATTATTTGAAAACAATCAGACAAATAAATGAAATTTTGTGTAGGGGAAATGTGTTTTTTAATTCTCTTTTATTTCCTATAATTATCTTGTTACTCCTTTTGTGGGACCCTATGCCCATGTTGGGAACCATTGTACACATTATACAGGTATATACCCTATATAATAATACGGGGATGTGAGGTAGCATGATACTGCTGAGATCTGGGTCTCTTAATAATAATAATAATAATGATAATAATATCTAACTGTTATTTTCATTTTTGGTTAATCTTCAAAACCCAAAGATTTACTATGAAAAAAACAAGCTCTAACATTGATAGAAAAATTACTTTAATAAATCATCGTGACAGTTGCTCATTAGTTTTCTGTCCATTACCTAATCATTTTAAACTTTAAATAGTAAGAATATTAAATGGATTTTCCCCTAATTGTAGCTTGTTACTCAGATATCCTATTAGTAGTGTCTCTTTCTTTAGAAGGCAGAGGCTTTAAATATGAATTTCCATGGTTGTATAGCATGTATTGTTTTCCCCAGGCCATTTTAATTATTACGGTAATCAGTGTTTTCACCTTTGTAATGTTGTCAATCATTTACCACACGCAACACGCCAATGAACTGATGAAGCTGTTATTACCTCACATGAGTTGGGATTGGCCTGAAACAGTGTCTATATTAAGTGCAGTGAAAGATTTCCAGGAAGTGATGGTAATCAAAATAAAATAATTTTCCTTCATTCACAGAAACTTATTTCCCTATCAACCAGCAATTTTTATGATCAGTGCATCTAATCTCATGAGTAATCTCTTATCTTGTTTACTGGAAACTTGAAACCTCTTCTGACTCTTCTAACCTAAAGCAACATGACTGGGCAGCCGTGCAGTGGTGGAACTGGTTTTAGAATTAGAAAAACAGCTTCTTTTGTTTGTCCAGCATTATCTGGAAACACTGCAGCAGACAGTCATTTGATTATTATTAGCCTTTGGTGATGTTGTGAGCGGCCCACGTTTTCATCATATTGCTGATTCATTGTAAGTTATTAAGGTTTAAATCTGCCTAAAAATTCCACATTAATACATCCTGATATTAGATGTAAATTGTAAATAATAATACATAATTGATCTGTAGGTCGGTCCATCTTCACAAACTCATGCTGTGCAAGCCAAACATTGCTCAAAACCTATACGTTTCCCAAGATACCAAATATATCAGCTTGAACTCTGGGAAAATATGTACAAACGACCAACAAGACATCTAGAATATTTCCATGTAAGTTCATGATGCAGCCATAAGCAACAGAAAGTCTCGGGTTTGAATATTTAACACAGTGAAAACATTGTACATTGCTTCAAAGAAGAGCTGGAACAAGCTGATACACTATGTACTGTGGAATGAGATGGTTTTTCCATGCTTAAACTTACTTACAGGGAAAACTGTTAACCAGCCTTTGGCAGCCTTTGTTGGACTTGTTTGGTTGGCAGAAAAGATAATAGGTTTATAATCACTCTAGAGAATTAAAAGCCGCCCTTCTCCGTCACAACAATATGTGAGCCAACAAATTTACACAAAGCAAATAAGTGAAAACCTTCCACCAGTTTGCTGTTGTGTAGTACTACAGAAAAGCCACAAGGTGTCAGACTAATCACTGAGAAACAGCATCTGTCTGTTTTCTCTGGGACAGAATATCATGCGAGAAAACATGTCACACACACCTACAGTATGCTTCCTGTAGACTGCGGTGAAATGAAGTAGATACAAGATACTTTTCTTGAGTATTTCCATTTCATATTGTTTTATACTTATACTCCACTAAAATATAGAGGGAATGTAAACATTTATTTAACAGCTTTGGTTAGATGTAACTTTAGAAATTAAGGTTTTACTCACAAAACATAAGATGAGCTTAAAAAATATGACGCATTGTTATAGATCAAACTACCCACCAGTATATCAAATAGTTCAAATCCATTCCACTAATTAATTCCCAACGGTGCCGTTTACATCAGGAATAATTAATCCGGTGATATAATATATAGTTGTATAACACAAACAGGGGCTATTTTCTCTGTAATGAACACCTTTCCTTTTAGCATTTTTTTTGCAACTTGTACTTACGTAAATCTGAATACCTCCTGCACCGCTGCCTGTACTGGGGCTTAAGTGCCTTTCTCATTGTTTTTCACTTTGTCTACTCACATCTCCCAGTCAGTCTGACATTTCCTAAAAGCAACCTTAACAGGAACTGTACACATTCATATAGATTCGCTTCAACTGTAACTGCACACAGTAAGTACCAGTGGCAAGAAATGCAGTTTAGCATCTAACCATTAAGTGCAAACAGTAGCAAAAGTGCACATATTGATATATTTAAGTATAAAGTAACAGAACAACATGGTAGAACAGAATGAAGGGATTCATCTGATTCATCTGTGATGCAAAATAAACCAAACTGTGTACAAATGTAAAGCAGCTATGATATACAAGTATGAACAGACCCTAATAACCAGTACCTATATGATATTTGTGATTTAGAGTGTGTTACCTGACGAGAAGCTTGGGAGAAGTTTTCCTTTTTTTTTTTTTTTACTTTTCTGCAGTATCATCTCTCTAATCAGACCGTAGAAAACTTTCTGGCTGTCCCAGATGTGAAGAGCAGCCTGTGGTCATCTGAAGGCAACACCTCGCCTACTGTCTGATCCCAGGTGATACTTCAGGTCACCTTCTTCATTTTTCATGGGTGCTAAGCAGGACAAATGTGAGACTCACGTTTCCTCCCACAAGGTCTGGTCATTGACCTCCGGGCCTGACGCACTGCAGTGTAGCAGTCGCCGTGCAGTTACCTGTCGTAAATCTTTATCTCCCTGAGTCATTACTCGCCATCTCCCATCTAGAAACTTCCCGACTTCCCAATCTTAAAATGATAGATGGGAATTAGCACACGCAGGTGGAGCAGAACTGAGCTAACAAAGCTTATTTAAACGGATCCAGGAGAATACAAAGGCTCCATTAATGTCTACTTCCAAAATTATTAATTACCTGTGCATTCATTATACTCTAAATGCTTATATCATTTGTAATGGCTTATTTGATATATCGAGTGCTGGTCGTCATAACCATCTCTTTAAGCAACCCTCAATTATTAAAGTAGACCAAGATGTCATTTGAATAATATATGAAGCGTTTTTAGGAAAAAAGTCCTGCCGTGAACTCTCACTCATGATCACAGGAGTTTCTTGTCATATCACTGAAAGGAGAGTGTAAGACAGAATTTGTTAATGTGTAACATAGTTTTATATTTCCTAGAAACATCTCAGACACGACACTTTAAATGTCACTCCTAAACTTGAAAAGTTGAGAGCTATGTCAGATATTTGAAGCCTAAGTGAATATCTGCTCTCTTTGCATATCGGCATGAGAGGAAGAGGATGTAAATATTCTTTACTTTTGTTATTGCAACAAATCTCATGAAAAAAAACAACGAAAACCAAACCAACGATGTGTTAGTCCGACTGTCAGTGGTTTCGCACTTTCCAAGCATGTTTGTGGCTCCCGGCTCCATCCTCATTGACTGAAGTTGTAAATCTTTTAAATTGGGTCACAAATAGTAATTTTAAAAAGGGCTCAACAGTTTCCTTAAAAGAGCTATTTGTAAGTTACATTAATGCTACATAGCAAGCGTTACCATTAACAACTGTTTACTTACCAGTCTAGAAGAAACGTAGTGAGTTCAGCATCAAACTTCATTCCTCCTGTCTCCAGCTGTGAAAAGCAACACAAATGTTAACTCTTGTCTTTATCATGTCTTTTCTACTACTGAAGTTAGCATGCTAACCAGCTAGCCACTTACTGTAGCCTCCAATCAGCCCTGTTGTAAATGCAATCACCACCTCCAGGTTTGGTGGCAGAGAAAACTTACAAGTTGACCCTTTAAATGGCTGAGCACTGCAGTTTTGTTTTTGTTTTTCTAGCAAACCTCACTCAAACAGGAGTAAGTAGTGCATTTGTTTGTTTGGGACTATTTTCAGCCATGGATTAATACACATTTGATGCTCTACTGAGTATTTACAGCAGCAGGATGTGAGATATAATCAAAATAAACTAGTGTGTCATCCAGCACAACACTCTGGTCCATTATCTGAAAAAAAAAAAAAAAAAAAAGGTCTTTGGCTCAGAGAAATAAGATTAATTCTTGTTTGCAGGATCAGTTCATTGTTGGTTTTGTTTTTTTTCATGGAAAAATGGTAACACCTGCAGCCTCGATGAAAGGAATAACTGGGGAAATAGACAGATTTACTGTTGAAGTATTCCCCAGTTAATATCGTAAGATATTCAAGTTGATTAATGTTTAATTTTGAAATTTGAGACTGCAGTAATGCGTGGGACACCTTAATGACATCAGGGGTTCCCAGCGCAGGTGAAGCAAATGAAAATAGAAATGATAAACAGAACGACTTCCCAGGCATGAGGAGGAGTGTGTTATCAGTGTGTCAGGATGCCTGAGCCTCCATCAGTCCCAGTAAAGGCCTGGGTGTGTCCACCTGTCCCTCCTTCATCTGCTTTAGTGCCGAGACAGCAGATGGAGGACCTCACATGATTAGTTCATCCTCTGCCAAAAAATAGGCTGCTCATTTGTTATAATGCACTGTATTATAATGCAATGATTTTGCTTTTTGGTTTAATCATATTAGCGCTGTATAGTCAATAAAGAAGTTATAAAAGTAATGCAAAACCCATGTCTGAACATTCTTGGTCAGCAAAGTCAGGGCACAGAATCAATGGCTCAAGTAATACTGTAGGTGAGAGCAGCTGAACTTAAATCAATATTATGCCCATGAGGATTACTTTGCCACTCAATATTACACCTGCTGTGCTCCGGAGCGGCACTGTGTTTGCACTTTGATCAAAAATGAAACGGCAAGGTCACCACAGAGGTGAAGTAGCCCGATGCCGCTGTGTGCTCTGTCCTGCATCTAGAAGAGTTACCGTCACTGGAAGAAACTGGAGACTTTTGGAGGGATTTGAAACAAACACAAGCTGCTCAGATCCAAGTGACTTTGCCCTCTGGACGGTGTGAAACTACAGTACACAGGCTGCTGCCGGTGCAGCTCCGAAATTGGCTTATAACGTGTCTGCTGACAAAACAGTAACCCAATCTACCAATATGAGACTCACTGTCTGAGCTTTCGCGTGAGATCCGTCCATTGTTTCCCTTAAAGCGGTGGGACACAGCTTGTCACTGACTTAGAGAGTAAAGGGAAGAACGGAGTCATGCAATGGTGATATTTTTAGATCCATTAAGGACTGCGGTACAGTCTGCTGTGTCACAGTGACTGGACTAGGTGCTGCTCTGTGAATGGATTTCTTGGGGTGAATATTTATCAAAGGCAGGATGGATGTGATCTCTTTGTGGAACACATGATGAATTATAAATGACAGACTCACATTGGCTTTGACCTTGCCAGAGCCACCCGTCTGTTAAATGCTAAAATGCTATCAGGCTCGTCTTTGGGATATCACTGTACGATCAATGATCAGCAGGGCAGAAGGGCAGGCTGCTGACCTGGCCGTTAACTAGTGATTAGATCAACAGGACTGACGGCGAAAACACATCCAGTATGTTTCAGCAGGAAACGACTTCAACAGCCCAGACTTAATGAGGGAGGAATCAGCTCAGAAAATCTACAATCACAATCATTACACATACAAAATACGCACAGATCAAAGAAGATGTAATGTTTTAACATACTGCCCGACAACCTGTCCTTGATGTGACTGTATGGGACAGCAAAGCATCAAGTGAAACAGCGAGTTCCTGGGCTTGGAGGCCAAGATAGATAATCTAATAAATGATTCATTTGGTCTGCATATTTAATTAGGTGCATTTGCTTTTGAAGCTATCCCAGTCAAAGACATTGTCAAGCTCACAGCACTAGAATTTCTCCATCTAGTGAAGGCTTGTGACAATAGAAATAAAAAGCTAATTGTATTTTTATTCCACCAAAACTCCTCAATATGTCCATCTGTTGCATTTCTGCATGATTTCATAATCTCTTTTGATCTTACCACCTATTTTTAGCTGTGCCGTTTCATTTCTTCATTTCAACGGGTTTGTTACAGAACACACAGCGAGAAACGTCTGTTCCTCCAGTCTGCCATCTACACCACCACACCAGATACAAATATATATACAGTATCAGGTTTCTAATATATATATATATATATATATATATATACATATATTTAAACTGGATCTTTTTTAAAACTGGATCTTTTTCTGTCTTGTGATGTAACACACTCTTAGGCAGAATTCACAGGGGAAAAGTTTTGGATAGAGAGAGATAGAGAGAGAAGAGAGGGAGAGAGAGGGATGCCATCATGATATCAGTGCTGAGAACCAGCAGTGAGAAGGCGTTAATAACAGCTAACATGAGGTGATAATGAGTATTCAGCCCTGAAGCCATACACTGACACTTACACCTCCATTCATCACTATTATTATTGAACACGGGAAGGAAAAAAAAAAAAAAAGTTTCAAAACTTTAAATTTGCTCCATGTGGTAATGTCACGGGTATTTAAACCAGAAATCAAATCATTTGAGGGAAACTTCACACAGTTAGGATACATGTTTAATGGAAGGCACTCTTTACAGGATAAATAAAACATAGCAAATTATGACACTGTTTACTGTACAATGCTGACACATACAGTAACAGTCCTCAAATATTAAGTGCTTCATGACATAGTAAAGTGCTGAGTACCCACGTGACTAACTGTTGTCACCTTATTGCATTTCATTTTTAATACTAGGTATTGCTCTTTCCATGAATGAGAAATACAACACATTTGTTTTCCACCCGCATGTCATCATTATTGCATATTGTAGGATTATTAGAAAGGCATTCATTGAGTTACAACTACATCCACTGCCGTTTCAATACAAGCTGTGTTTACGTGTATAATAAACTCACATACAGTACATTTTCAAGAGTGAAATGTGGCATGCATACAGTATAAAGAACCAATTCATTTCCCAATGAGACACAAATGCCATCATCTGTTGTCACCAATTCACAAATCCGGTTGAAGTATTGGCTTTCCCTATCACGTGGAATATAATGATCATCACTATATGATTAGAATACTATGGTATATTTACCTACAATAAATATGTCAAACTTCAGTTACTGACAATAAGAGTTAAGCCCCATTTCGGCACACTATGCCATGCAATACAAATGAGAGAACAGAGATAAATGGAGAAATTCTCAAAGTTTTTGTCTTTGCCCTCTCCTCCATTCTCTCAGTCTGACCACAAATATACAACTCATCTCACATTTCTATACAGTCGAATAAATACGTTTTTCCCCTGACCAACAGCTGATGGTGTAGAGCTCCAAAAGTGCTTAAGAGATACGTGGGAAACAAAACAACTCTCAGTGCAATGAATTGATATGGTTTTTAAAGGGTAAATTCACATTATAATAACACGTTAGAGGGTGATTGCATATGCAGCTAAATGTGCATCAGCGGGTGCAAAATGCCAAATAATTCAAATGAAACCATGTAGATAAAAATGACCTGTGATTCAATAACTGAAACTGCCGCATGCGACTACTGCATGTACTATAATACAGTGAACGTGAAGCAGTTTCATGGTTTGCTTTATATTTTGCAGCCTACTGTATCTACAAGAATAGTAGCAGACGTGCTAACGTGCCAACTATTTATCACAGATTCTGTTACGCTGTGTCATATGGAGAAGTGCTGAGTGCCGGGCTGAGCATTCACAGCTATAGATTTGCTGATAAGACAATGTGTGCGCTGATGTCCTCTTGCCTTACACTGGAAACGTAAGCCTGTCCTTGAAAATCATGCCAAGTTTTATCTAGAATTTGCTGAATATGACGAAGTGCAGACTAATGTGATGTAATATAAACTCCGACTATACATCCAGCAATAAATGCTACGATTATCAACACCGTTTTTGATTTTTCTTTTCTTTTGTGGGATAAACTTACACTGTAATACAAACCAGAACGACAGTTTACAACCTACTTTGCCTTTCACGTCTACGTTTACTCTAACAATCTACGTTTTCAAGGTGAAACATCTGTCTATAGTACAAATGAGCCACCACATTTTTCTTCAAATTGCACTGGATGAAAGATAATAATGAAACCTTTAAGGTGTTCTCATCAAAGTTAACTGACATAGTAGTTGCTGAGTTGTGTTAATTGCACTTTGACACATCCACAAGCAGACAGACAACTTGTGTAAAGGCTGCCTCACCACCACACAGTGCCTATTAATACTGTAGTAGTATGCACAAATGCTGCCATGTTTGGAGTACAAAATAGTGAGAAAGATAAACTGTTTTCATCCAGTGTATCTGAGTAACAGATATGTTTGATCTGTCCATGTGTTTGTCATGCCCTTCGTATAAATAACTCCTTTAGTTTCTCTATCAGTGCATGCCATTCTTCTCGTTCTGCCAAGTGCCGTTGCTTTTGTTTAGTGAGGGTGTGCTTCCATACTTGTTAGCAGCTGACATTTTCTGGGCAGCCTCTGCCGCTGCATCCATCACCTGTTTCTCCTCCTGCTCAGTCTCTCGGTGGTAAAAATAGTTGAAGTTGGAGACGATGACGGGGACAGGCAAGGCAATGGTCAGGACACCAGCAATGGCACAGAGGGTGCCGACCATTTTGCCTCCCATGGTGATGGGGCACATGTCTCCGTATCCCACAGTGGTCATCGTCACCACAGCCCACCAGAAGCCATCAGGGATGCTGACAAACTGCGTCTGGGGCTCATCCACTTCTGCAAAGTAGATGGCACTTGAGAACAGAATGACTCCTATGAAGAGGAAGAAAATGAGCAGCCCTAGTTCCCTCATACTGGCTTTCAAGGTCTGACCCAAGATCTGAAGACCTTTTGAGTGTCGGGAGAGCTTAAAAATTCTGAACACTCTCACTAGTCGGATGATTCTTAGGATCGCCAGGGACATGTTCTGACTAGAGTTCATATCATCGTCAGGGGTCGTAGCCAGCTCTGTGCCTAGGGTCACAAAGTAGGGAATTATAGAGACTATGTCAATGATATTCATGATGTTATTGAAGAAATCACTTTTGCTGGGGCACACCACAAAGCGGACACCGACTTCAAAGCAGAACCAAATGATGCAAATAGTCTCCACAATGAAAAAGGGGTCTGTGATATAAGCAATGACGTCTTTAGTGGCAGGATGAGGGGCAGAACTGTCTTGGGTGCCATTTATATTTTGGGCTAAACCCTGGAGAAAGTCATTGTCCTCCCTGAACTCTGGCAGAGTCTCCAGGCAGAAAATGAAGATGGAAATGACGATGACAAACACAGAAACCAGAGCTACTGATCTGGCTGCACTGGAGCTCTCTGGGTATTCAAATAAGAGCCAGAACTGTCGCTGGAGTTCGTTGGTGGGCAAAAGGACCTCTGGCTCTTTAACAAACCCTTCGTCTTCACGGAACTGCTCCATCGCTTCATGACCCAACTCGTAGAAAACAATTTCATTAGCAAAAACATCTAAGGGAACATTGGCTGGTCTGCGGATTCTCCCCCCGGACTGGTAGTAGTACAGAATCCCATCAAAGGACGGGCGGTTTCTATCAAAAAAGTATTCATTTCTCATTGGGTCGAAGTAGCTTATCCGCTTCATGGGGTCACCAAGCAGTGTCTCTGGGAACTTATTCAGGGTGCTGAGTTGGGTCTCGAACATCAGGCCTGAAATATTGATGACAACTTTCTCATCTTTTTCTTCCATGCAATGCCTTTCAAACAAATCTTCATTCTCGTAGCAATCCTTCGCCATCTTACTGAAGACGCTGTCAGTCGGAGACTCGCTGTTGATCATGAGCTTCAGATTAGAGATCAAGCTGCCACTGCTGGAGTTCCCTTTTGCGGTCAGAGTTGGGGGAGAGGACGGTGACAGCCCCTCTTGACCGGACTGATGCCCACGTCGTCCTCTGTGTGGCGACTGGTGAGGAGAAGTGAGACGGCGGGTTAACAGATTCTGATCCGGGGCCTCTGAGGGGGGTGACGTTGGGTACCCGGAGTCACTCGGGTCACCCAGGTTGATGCCGACTTCATCCATGTTTTCAAAATTAACAAGAGGCACCTCCATTGCAGGTCTGTCTATCAGCGTGGTTTGAGCGCAGGAGACAGAGGAGTCGCCACCAGCAGTGCCACGCCGAAGATCCTGGCAGGGCCTCTCTCCTCCTGGTTATCATTCAGGCAGCTGTACTCTACTTTTGGATTCAGCCCTCTGTGTAATCTGTAAAAGACGAGGTAAAGCAAAGTTGTGTTAAATTTTGTTAAACGGTGCAATACAGTTTTGTTGGTAAAGAGATTTTTCTGTCAGCTCCTCTTTGCATCAGCAGAGAACCTGCCATCTGATACTGTGCTTGTACAGTTATTTTATTTCCCTCCCAAACTCTCTCCCATGACCTAAACGAAAACACTAGCTCGGCAGGTTCGGCTGTGAAAGTGCTTACAGGGAGTATGGATAATATTATTGCTGATCATGTGCTACAAAACTGAACATGTTTCATTTCCTTATGAAAGAAAAACATCTGAGCTCTTCACTGAAAACAGAAACCCGTCAAAACTGAAACACTATTTATTCCTCTCGGTATTTAAATGTCTATGTGTCTGTTTCTACCTGTCAGCAGTCAGTAGACTTGATTAATCCAACCCAGTCATGTTCAGGATAGTCTATCGGCATCACATTAACTTTATCTCTGAGTAGCTGTTTATCATTCCGTTTGTCTGGTTCGGACAGGTAACCAAATCCCAGCACACGCTTTTAAGCTGCAACCTCTATGTCCACTTGACACCAAGGGCCCTCATCTGACTCTATTTCCACTTGCATTGTAGCAGATAGCGTAACAGTCCAGGATATAGAATTGAATCTTCTTATGTAAGGATATCATGAGAGGGCTAACGCAAAAAAATATTGATCGTGCCATGTAAGCGAAGACGGGTTACTGAGTCCAAGAGAAAGGACAACTGAAGATGCAGAGAACGGAAAAGTGCTGCAGTGAGGTTCACATCACTGCATCTTAGACACTTTTAATTGTTTCTAAAAAAAAAAAAAGAAAAAAGAAAAAAAAAAAGCAACTTTTTGCTGCTAAAATCTCACCACTGATTTAACTTTGCCCTTTCTCACATTGAGCCGACATTGAAAAAGACTGTAAACAGATTCAGCTACATCACAATCCTCATTAGATCGGAACACGTGAATGTCCACAAATACATGCAAACATACAGTTCATCAAAAAGTGCAAAGTTTAAATCCAGCTGTGTGCAGATGTCCGCACCACTCACCCGTGTCCCCAGCTCTGCAGAAGTTGTCCTGCCTGGCAGCTCCGCTCTGCTCCCCCTTCCTCCCTTCACCCTCTCCCTCTTTCAGTCTCACAATCAAGAGTGTCTCTAGCTCTATTAAAGCTCCCATTGGGTAATCTGATACCCTATACGAAACCAGAGATGCCAGAGGTGCCCACACACACACTCACAAACATACAAAAGTGCCCGCACACAAACACACACATGCAGGCAACTCACTGTATTTTGAATGTGGGGGTCACCTGGCTTTGTTCTGCCTGCTCCCTCCTCCGTCAGTGGGATAAGTGAGGACGTTATAGGTAGCTCTCTGATAGGTGATTTACTCTGCAGGAGCCAATCGCTGTTTGACGTGGCGAAGGGAGAGTGGGGACCCACTCTTTCCCCCCCTTTCCTGCAGAGTAAGCATCCACATGCAGGATCATCCAATCCACCCTCACCTTGGGGATTATACTGTATTCTTCCCCTGTTACAGTACCTGTCACAGCTCTCAATACTTGCAGGAGAGCACATCTGCCCGAGGGAATCAGCTTTCTCTTGTTTACATCCTTGGTAATACATGCTGACGTGAGCTGTTATTTCATCTGACATCAGTATTCTGTGAAAGTCTATTGATATTTCAACTGTCACAGATGTTTTCCAAAATCTTCCCAAACATCTCCAGTCAACTTTTTGGTCATGAGGCAAATCTACAAACATATGCCACTTGCTCTTTGAAAAAACAATAATTAGGAGGTACTGGAATCAATTTTATTGATAAATACTTGAATGCTTCACTGAGGTAATTTATTCTGGGAACACATTTCCCCTAGAGGTGTTAAATATAGATTTATATGAGGGTTAATCGAGCTGACAGTGAGTAAAAAAAGCCATTTTCCAAGACAATCCTGCAGATGTGTTAGTGTTTTTCTCATTTCACCTCTGCACATGCCAGCAATTGAAGGTCTGTCAGATTAATAAAGTAGCTCTGTGGCTTTGAAGAAATATGACGAGCCTAATTAAAAGGTTAAATCTAAATCTGAAGAAGGCTACACTGCTGAATTCTCTTGAGGAACTAAAACTTTAATCAAAGTTAATCTTGTACTTTTTCAGAAGGGCGGCCAATTTGGCAACATGGGTTGAATATTGTGTTACCTGATAGAGAACCAGTTGTCTGAAGTCAGAAATAATTCCCTCATCTCACCCTCGTCCTGCTGCAGCCAGGAGTTGGCTGTCTGCTGGTCCCCTGTAACATTGCGGCGACAGCAGCACCACTGCAGGCACACGGCTTCAAGGTCACAGAAAACTGTTTCAAGACTTTACATTCTCCGCTCTGCTGTACATCATCACACACGGTCACCTCCTGGAGTCTCATTATGTGTGCTCACGAGAACATCATGAATATAAACTTGACACGTTTGTACCTGACATATACATTCAGGGATGCCCATTTATATAGAGTACTGAGCAATAGGGAAGCAGAGTGAGTGCATGTGCACACATCAACATCACACTGACTCAACATCCTTGTTGTAGAGGGATCTTTTTCCCTGTGTGATCCTGCACTGTCCTGGACATGTCATTGAGAAGGCAGTCAGCTGAAGCACGACCTGTCACTTAAACACTTCATAATAGGATTTGCTGCAGGCAAAGAGAGACAGGAAGATGGACAGTGAAGAGGACGACCGAAGACTGCACAAGTCAGAGGGTAAATAATCGATCCATTCCCCTGCAAAACGATTTGTGTCAGTAGAAGAGGGAAAGGGGAGGTAAATGGGTGAGATATGAACTACAGGAGGAGGTGGATTGCAGCTACTGCAGTGTCACTCGTCTCCAGAGTCCTGACAGGGTACCAGAGGGATAACGTCCCTCCCTCTGTCCTTCCATACAGCCCTCCATCCATCATCCATCCCTCCCTCCCTCCCTCCCTCCCTCCTCCCTGCCTGCCTGCCTGCCTGCCTGCCTGCCTGCCTGCCTGCCTGCGTCCAGTCCGGCCCTCCCTCCCCCCGATGACACTGTCACCTTACCCGTTAACAGACTGTGTTGACAAAGCAATTTCTCCATCAGTATGCTCGTGTGTGAACTACTGACACTGCACAGGTATAAACACCAACTGCACACCTTTATATAGCTCGACTTTGAGCCATGGTTGCCTGCTAGGAACAGCAACATCTGCTGAGAAAACAGAAATACATCCGCAACACTGGCGTGACTGAACTTTATCAGTGAAGGAAGTAGTTCAACTTTTAAAAAGCTGCTGCAGTAAAAGTACGTATGTGTATAGAATGATGTCCTGTGAGCCGTTTCTTACTAACATCAATGTTCTCGTAAACTCTTCACCTCTAAAGTAACTTACGCTGTCGAATGTAGCAGTGAAAATATATCACAATATTTCTTTGCTTTCTAACACATCCAGCAGTTACAGAGGAACATTATCATTCATTTGGAGTCGTGTTTCTGGGCACCTGGCAAAATGTAAGTCCAGTATTCCCTCTGCTTTAGCTCTGTTTTGATCTCAACTGACTCCAGAGGGAAATACCTGACTCTTTAGCTGCTAGTCGCTGACTGTGTCTGCTTGTCGTTCGCTGCTGAGCAGGTAGCGAATAAGAGCTTTTTTGGCTGAAAACTTTTTTGGCTGAACACAGCTGTCTACTACAGTGACGCTTACGAGTCATTTGATACAAATATTGATTAGCCATTTAACCACAGTAATTGAGTAAATGTACTTAGTTACGTTTCACCATTGCTAACTCAGTAATTACTGCAACAGTAATGTCTTTATCTTCACGTGTTTGCTGAAAAGGGTAAGTTGGGGAAAGTATCATCACATATCATCACATCTGTATTGCACTTATTTTTCTAATTTCATTTGGTCCAAAAAAATTTGAGCAGAAATGAATAAATAAATAAATAAATGTATTTTAAACCGTTGTAGTCTGTAGATGGCAGTAACAAAAGCCCGGAGCTACTCATCTTTGTGCACATGAGCTAAGTAATTCTATCTCAAAAGCTCATATGCTCATCCATTAAGGGTGACAGGATTTCAAAGTGCATGTCAGGTAGCACGGATTAGATATTCCAGCCTAGTAATCTTATAGCTGCTGTAAAGGCAGCTGGTTATTCCAGTCCAGTAATCCTACATATTGCGGCAAAGCTTCCTCCCATTGCAAATAACACATAAGGTTGGGTCAGGAGCATACAAGGGCATCGACAGCTACAGTTGATGAAACCCCCATGTAGCTCCAAACATAGTGCTAGGTAAGATAAAGTGGCATGTCTATTGAAAACCTCGCACGGTGCCACAAGTTCATACGGATTCAGTGTTGGCGGCTGAGCCCTCGCAGGGGCAGAGATCAGGGTTTCTCAGTCACAGGTTTGCGATCACTTGATATCCAGATGGGGACAGAGAGAGATTTTAAAGACAGATGTAAGATGCTCTTTTGATTAATAATAAATGATAATAAATTAATAAAAAAATAGGTTTGAAGTATATTTTTTATATTTCATTCTTTTGGAGATTCTTCTATGGTTTTGAAAACAGAATACAATTGAAAACAATAGCTGAAGGGACGTTTGAGCGTTCAAAAAGCTGATTTTGTAGCTTCCATGTCCCCAGTTTTAGTCTCTTGATCTTCATTTAACCAGGAAAGTCTCAGATTCCTTTTCAAGTGTCAATTGGCAAACATAGACAGATAGTTACAACTTTAGACAGATATCACATGATATACCTCAAAATCAGGATTTAACAGGAGCTGCCGAAAACCATCAAATAACTAAAAACTAAAACAACTTAACCAAAACTTC